TCCAACAATAATCATTATTATCATTACTATTATTATTTACTTAATTATTACTAAGTTTAAATTTAAGTTTAAGAATACAAAGACTCTATTCTAGATCGATTTAGGCATAAAAATAAAAGAATTCAAGAGTTTTATGCTTTTGTATTTATTTTTAAATTAATAATTTTATAAAATTATTTGTTCTTGATCAATGTGAATTTTCACAACGTCATTTCCCTTAGGGAAAAATAACCCGACATATCACTAGATATAGTAATTATAATAGCACTAATTCAGTGATACTTGACAATTACAAATCAGTAAATATAAATTGATTTTACAGTAATTTTTACTCATTCATTTTCAAAGATTAAGAAAATAATGTGTCCCAAATCCTCGCATTAAATAATTTTGCTCTCTATTATCAATGTTGTAGGGTATTTTATAGTTCATCAGAGAAAACCCAGTAACTTTTACTCCAGGGATTATATAAATATTTAAAGACATTTATTATAAATTTGGTAAACTGATTGAAATGACGAATACTTTTAATAAAAAATTAAATATTCAAAGTAAGAAACAATAAATCAGACAGAAATAAAATTATTCAGAAATAATTTAGAGCAAAAATAATGAAGAGGAATAATTAGGAGGAAAAAAGATGTATATAAATACAATAAATGAAAAAAGGAATTTTTTTTGACTGAAAAAAGATGGATGGCAAAAGCGCGAGAGATTAAAGTTTTAGAGGTATCGATTCGTCGACACGACTGTTGACAGGCGGGGAAGATCGTCAAAGAGCATAATAATTACTACGCCCGCAGAGAAGAGGCTCAACCCTTTGTTCTATAGTCACTTTGCTACGAGCGATGGAATACGAGTGGGGAAAAGACTCTTTCACGACGAGTAGTAGTATATAGCGAGAAGGGGGCCTCAACATAACGGCATCGAGAAAGCATCCGTTTCAGTAACGCGGCCATTATGTAATTGATCTGGGCTTCCTATTCATAATCATTGCAATATTGTATGATACATTACTTCAGCACTTCATCATCACCATGTCGATATCCCTACCAATGTGTCTGTCATTCTATTTCCTCGGAATATTCAATCCCACCACTAACTCTCACAACAAACGTCTGTCATCTTCCTCTGAGATAAGAAAATACGACATAGATACGATTGTCAAAATCATTTCTATCTCAATTAATTTTTTATAAATATCAATCGCTAGTTTGACGAGAGACAATAGATGGATAAGGGGCAAAATGTGCAGGTGACGTGGCGCCGAGTATCTACCGCTACTCTAGATTCTTTATCAACGAATTTTCATACCAAGTTGAATGATTTTTTTAAAACTTTCGAAATTTGAGTTTTTAATATTTATGAATAACTTATTTAAGAGCAGAGAATATTTTAATTATTTTAATGTCTTGGTGGTGGTTTGACTTTAAATTTTAATTGAGATTCCGGATGAGTCCAGTTTTTAAAATGACAAGAGTATGAATACATACAGGAACTACTTGAGAGAATAAGTGGAAGGTGAGTCAAGCGAGTGATGAAAATAAAATAAAAAAAGAAACCATCACAAATGACATGGTTATTAGTGAGGGTGCATTTGAATTATCAACATCTCATATGAGAATAGCAGTCATTTAATGATTTTTTTGAAACTGAATTTTAATTGTCGAACAAACAAATTCAATTTTTTTTCTCAAGAGCTAAGGAGATATGATATTCGGAAATGGAGATACTTTTACAGTTTTATTCTGTGAATCGATGATAAATATTAAATGTCATAATTTTTCAACGAATACTTCAAAACTGAGCTCACGGTTTCTCTAAAAAAATTAAGATGATTAATAAATACATAGAGAATGCACCAACACTATTTTAAAATTTGTTTTTCTGAAAATTATTATAATTCTTTCAAATACGAAAAATATTCCTATTCCTCTTATTTCTTATTACGAATAAAAGTTAAAAATAATTGAAATAATTCTACATCTCAAAATACCATCATGAAATTGTAAAATAAATTTTAGTGCAAAAATATTCAGCAATAATAACAATCAGCTCTGAAATTCAACAAATTAATTTCAATAAACAGTTTATAAAAAAAACTACCATTACTTGATAACAACACTTATATTATGTAGATAACTAAAAGGATAAATTGATGATGTTTTAGTATTATTTAAAATCAACCTTATGTTTCTACTACACTTCTCCAAGAATTCCACGTAGTAAAGAAAGAACCCCTTGTTAAGTTAAGGGTAAGTTAAGTACCTCTCAACATTACTATCCTCTTTTTCTATTAACATAAAAAAAGAACTCCATTTTTAGCTGATAATTATTTAAAACTATCATTTAATAATAATAAAGAATTTCCAGACCTGCAAAATTACTGAAATCATTCTCTCGTATATTCAATAGTGCAAAGTAAATATAAGATCTCCATACATGCAGTTTTGTATTTAGAAATACTGACAGGCACCTGTATCGAATAACGTGAATTGAGTGAATAAAATTGTACATGCGTGTAAATCTCGATAAAAGAAGAAAATGTGGAATGATACAAAAAAAAGAATGAAGTGAAAGGTAGAAAAAATTTTTTTAAAAAATTTGAGTTGTAATCCGGATAAGGATTAACGGATATCTGCATTCACAAAAAATTATCAAAGGATTAAAAATAGAATTATAAATAAATAACAATATGAAAAAGTAAAAATGGATATTGAAGCTTTATTTTAACTACAAGATTAAAACTAGATAACTAAACTTATTAAACTGCAATGATATTTATGCAACTATTAATATAAATGTAAAAAAAGAATATTAATCATAACATTGAATTTAGTTTAGTTTAAAATTTTGATACCTTGTGATAACTTACCTACGGATAGCTAAGTTTACTTATATAGATAGGAAAGTAACAGAAAATCTACCTGCCAAATCTTTGCAATCCAACTTCTTGATTCCCTATCCCACCTAACTTCCTTTTTAATTGGAATTCCAGAAATAAATCCATATTATTCGTTAATAATATAGCAATAATGTTTAGCTCAACTTATTTAGTTCATCTGAGGATAACTCTTTATCAACAAAGATTGAGTTTTTCTTTAATCCTTTAGTTAAATGAAACTAAGATAAAATTGCTTGTTTAATTTTCAAAAATTTATTCAACCTATCCCATTTTTAGAATCAGGTAGTAAGATACTTAAACGATTGATTAATGTGTTAGATGAAGACGTCTAGTTAACAATTAATATTCGATGAAAAAATAAAATATCAGATTGAGTTAGAATCTCATTAAGTAAAGCCGTACTCACTATTGATCTCTAATTAGATTTGGTTGCTAAATAAAGAACAGTACACTGGCCAGTGATAATTAGAATTAGAATGTAAGCAGAATAAATTGATTTATATTGTTAACATAGTGATTATCCTATACCATTTTTTAAAATTAAAATTATGCTGAAATTAATGATATTACATTATTGCTTGAAGACTTAGAACTTCTGTTTAGCTAATTTTTCTCAAGCTTAGTAATAATTCAGTAAAGAACTATTTTTGTATTGTGATCTTTTTAAATCAGTCGATAAAAAAAACCTCAATATAAGATACAGCAAATTATCACGAAATTAAGAATACTTGAACACAGACAGATCAGTTCTGATATTTCATTGCAAACATTATTTTTTCTAGATATTTTAAGTATTTTATTTTATGTATGAGACTCATTTAACATTCGTTGACATCACACAACACTAGTTAGTGCACTGTTTTTCATTTAGGATGATTACTTGAGCTTGGATCAATGCAATTATTATCCAATTAATTTAAATAAACCTTAAGATCCCAATTATTCATTGCTATAAAACAAAAGTAACAAAAATTAATATAAGAAATGGTGATATAAAGCTTCTTATGATCGTGTAAATTTTACTCTTCTTTTATTGGAATATTTTCAATTATTTATTTAAAAAAATCAATCTCTTGAAAGTATAAGGAATGACATGAAGATGTCGTCATAAATACATTCTTTTTCCAAAGTGGATGAGTAATAAAATAAGATTGGAAAATTTAACTCTTATAAAAATTTACATAGCGATAAAATCTGTGAAATATATAGAATAAAGTATGCATTAAAATCCTTTAAACATCTGCATGATAGACGTAGACTTTTCAAAAGGATAATTAGTTAAGATAAGTTCATGGTTTATGTTTTTGTTCATTTTTCTGATTGAGCTTATAGAGTAAAGATTACCTTCTGAATGCCTTTTTTTAAAAAAAAAAAAAAAAAAAAAAATTTCTTAATTTAAATTTAATATATTTACAAATATTTGTTTCTGATTATTTCCTGATCCTTTTTTCTAATATCTTTTCTTCGCGGACGATAATTGCAATCTTTTCATATCATCCATTATTTAAGAATCTTCTCCATTCAATAGACAGTACAAATTTACTAATGATGATAATAGAAATGGGTGACATTGAATTGGATTTATGGTTTTTGAAAAAATTTAGTTTTGAATACTTATTGCAATAAAAAACATTGGAAAAGAAAATACAAAAAAATTGAAAAATATTAATGACCGCCTAGATAATTAGCTTACTGAAATATATATTTATTACAAAATATTTGCAATAATATTGAAAGATACACAAATTACATTTCATTAGGCGTCTACATTTTTTTTTTTAAATATATTTTCATACATTTTTGATTTATATGAAACCATGATAATTTAATAATCAACTATCATATCTTTAGTAATTGAATTCTTAGTTTATTTCATAAACAATACTAAGTAATCATAAAGTAATCAGCCTTTTTAAGCATTACTTATTTATGCTCATAATCTCACATGGAATAATGTAGAATGATATCTTTGTATTTTATAAACAATCAAAATAAATAAGTATTTTCAACTAAATAGAACATGTTTAAAATATTGAAGATAGATTTTGTAACAAAAAGAAAAACAGAACAAAAATATTTATGATGATTAAATGCAAGTAAAAAAAAGTATTATCTTATTTGGTTGTGATTAATTTCACTTTTATATTGTTTAATACATACTTGAAGAGTAATTTTTTCATTTAGACATTTTCACTGGCCGGTCTTTTTTTGTTTTTTGAAGTTTTCACGTCAGCACTTGATGCTCGTGTTTTTGATCGTTCTTGCTCCAATTGGATGTGTAAAGAAGCTACTTCTGATGTTAATTCATCACGAATTTCTTGAAGTTTTGCTACTTCTTGTAATACTAGTGCTTTTTCTTTCACTACAACAAGCAAACATAATATAAAAATATTCTTAAATTTATCATAAACATCGTGATTGATAATTAAATTTATTTTTACTTACTTTCACCATCAGCTAAAATTCGGCAGAGCTTTTTATTTCTTTCTTTTACATGCATTAATTCAACTTTAAGTGACTGAATGTCTTTCTTTAACTGTACTATTTCATTATCTCGCTTCTCGACCTCTACTTTTAATTGTGCCGACGTTATATCGGCATCTAGAGTATTAAATCTCGATCGTAATATATCTCTTTCTCTTGCTTTTATCAGCTCTTCTTTGGCATCTTTTTCTACTCGATCGAAAAATTGAGTATCTGCCCCTACAATATATTTTTAAAATAATTACAATATTTTAAATTGAATAATTACAATTTGTTAATTGATAAGAAAATAGTATAATATAATATCAATATCTGTTTTACCTCGAGAATTGTCTTCAGGAATTACTGTTTCTATATGAGGTAGTGGTGAAGCACCTAAATTATTAAACTCTTCTAAAGACATTGTCGATTTTTTTGATTTTCTATTCCCTTGATTCTTCTTAACTTCATTTTCTTTCACACCGTTTTGTACTTCAGACTCGTAAGTCAATTTTGAAAGTAAAATTGCTTCGTGAAGTTCTTGTTTATAAGCTTTCTCGACTGCCTAAAATTCATTGAATTAAATTCAATTAAACTGTCATTTCAAAATTTATCACAAATACTGTCATTTATATTTTTTCTAGTTTTAGTTATAATTAAAAATTACTGTATATTTGAATAAAAGCATCACGAATTGAATAGCATTTACCATTGAATCTTTTTTCTTCCATTGTTCCCATCCTTGGTTATCATCATCACTTTTCTTTTTTTTGTTCTAAAAAATGCATAATTTTAAAGTTAATAAATTCTCAACAATAAAACATGTGTTTTGTTTATTTAGAATGTATTTCACATATAAAAATAAATGAAGTAACAAATGGCGTACCTTATTAGGTTTCTTCTTTTCATCTTTTTTCGCATTTGTTGGCTGCTTAGATTTATCATTCTTGGCTTTTGTCGTCGGCTTAACATTCACTGATGGTTTTTGGCTTTTTTTCGGTTTAAAATCGTCGTCATCATCGATCGCAAGAACTGCAAAACGCGAAGGCACAGCGGTAGCCATTGCAAATAATGTTTATTTACTGTGACAAGCGTATATCAATACGATTGTTTTCAATAATAAATTTGTCTCTTTCACAAGCAACAGTTACAACGTAATTCTCTATTTCTGTTTTATTTAAACAATAAATCGTACCACAATAAACAAATAATTGTTCAAAAAATTATATATTCTTATTATCAATCACTTTTGAAGCAAAACACAACACAAATTAATAAAATTTTGCGGTTAAATCCTCGAAAGAAAAAAAAACACAATTCCTTGAAAATACCGGCATTCCTTGTAACTGTGTCATCACTAACTAAACAGAGGACGTTATTTTGATGTTCAAATTGCGTTGTTTGTGCAGTGAATCGAATAGATGGCGCTTGAGTTCGAGTAATCGCAACAATTTCGATAGGTCGATTATTGCACAGCGCCCATTGCACGTCGGGAAAAAAACATGTACGTCGCACCAGAAAAGAAAAAGCGTTGAGTTGTATCAAGGTGCCGATTGTAGGCCACCATTCGGTTGTTTTCGTCGGCGTATAATAATCGTGAGTTGGATACAATAGTTGGGGGGAGGGGGGTAATAAATAAAAAAAGATTTACGTAAATATTAATGTGTTGGGATAATTAAGTGAAGTGAAAAAAAACGTCCTTCCCTCCTGGGACGCTAGCCAATTTTACTACACGGGAGCGTCGGAACGAGAGCCGGACTAGTGGACGGTGGAATCGGAGGCTCTCATTAAAGTCTCCATATTTTTTTTTTGTTATTAAGGTATAAAATGCTCATCATTAATACCGGCAATAATCAAATCAACGAAACAACACTATTCATTATAACATACAAGTGCGACAAAGAGACGCTCATCAACATTTTCCCGCGAATTCAACGTCCATTCCAACCCTGCAGCTGGTAGTAGTTATGTCGTCGCGGCGGGAGAACAACAACCAAAGTTGATTAAGTAAATATTCGTTCATCTCTATGGTATAGTAATAGTTTCTTTTAATGTAAATATTTTTTTATATTTTATATACTATTTCTTTCATATTAAATCACTTTAACGTCATTGTTTCCATCAAAATTGATCATATTTTAGCTTTTTCTAACCCGACTTACACTCAAGTCCACGTCTAATTCTTATCTTTTAATCCATGGAAAGTTTTCTTAGTTTTTAACATTGTCCAATATTTATTTAATCAACATTATTTCTGATAAATCATTGTAACCTAATTTATAATAGATATTTTTTTTGTTTTCAGATAAACAAATAAAGTTTTTAATAAATTGTTCATTTTGATCAGTTTAAAAAACCTGTATTAATAATTAGTAAAGATGTGTGATCAAACAGAAATTACTTACGACGACGGTGAAGTCGTCTGGGTTAAATTAGGAGCTTGTTGGTGGCCTGGACAAGTGGTAGGTTTTGAAAATCTTCCTGAAGATATTCAGCTTGAATTTAAAAAGAAACCTTTAATTGCTGTTGTCCAATTCTTTCAAGAAGATAAATAGTAAGTAACAAAAATCTACATTTTTTTCTATCTTAAAAACAAAATTTAATTCTTTTTTATTTTTCATTTATTTAGCGAATATGTAAAGAATCTTCAACAGATATACAAGTACAATTGTACTCAGAAAGATGATTTTATTAAAAAAGGCTTAGGTAAGATATCCCACGTGTTATAAGATTCATATACAGCTGAACACTGACTCTGATGTTTCCTTTAAAAATAATCATTTTTTAGTCAACTTAAATTTATTTAAAAAGTTATTCTTGTCTTAAGAGTAGTGAACAACTGATATTTTAACAAATTAGTTTATAATAATGATGATAATATGTAATTATTCATTACTATGATTCTAATGAATTTTCAAGTATTATTTATTTTTACTAACATATCATTATTAGATAATTTTAATCAATGTTTACCACTCTGAAGTACAAAAATTTTTGGATATATGTAATAAACTAATATAAAAATATTGATATACATAAATATAATTTCTAGATCGAGTAATTGATACTTTTTTCGGAAAAAAGCAATAGTAGAGTAAAAGTAAAGAAGTAATCATTGCAATACTTATAATTCTACTGTTTTATTATTTTTTTAATTTTTTTTTGAAAAAATATTTTAAAACGGTTATACTATGCAAATTATGAGCAACAAAAGGATGTTGATTACATAATTAATTAATTTTTATTTTTACTGTTTAAAAAATGAAATAACAATAATACTTATAACACAGTAAGATCTTTACTTGCTTTATTGTTCAGCTTTAAAACCTCCATAAATTTGTTTTTAAGTTAACAATAATTTTTTTTTTTCAAATAGATAAATATCGAACTAAGAGTAAAGATGGTTCGAGTTATATGGATAAGTTTCCAGACGATGTGGTGATGGCGGAGAAGCTAACAGGTGGTGATGTAAAGATCCTGAAGGATAGAAAATTTAGTCCTGAAGAGAAACCAGATATTTCATCGCTATTTGGTGAGAAAAAAGTACCTAAAAAGCGACGTGATAAAGACGACAAAAATTATCGACGCTCTCTAAATTCAGAAAGTAGTCGAAAAATGATGCCTTCAAGATATTCAAAATCTCATGATCATGAAATACGAATTCGTCATCAATCTAACAGTCAACCAACAACACCAAGTACACCATCAGGTGCTTTATACTCGTGCCCACTCTGTAGTTTTACATCAACGCGAGTTAATGTAATTATTTATCATAACAAAAGTCACAGATCTGATGGATGGGATAGTCCTCGAACATTTTTACCTAAAAGTCGATCGTCATTGAATTCACTAGAGTCACCGAAGAGAAAATATGTTAGAAAGAATAAGAGCTTTTCTCATCGTAGTTCTAGTGATAGAGCAAGTGAATCAGTGAAAAGAAAACCAACTAAACCACTTGAAAAAATGACTAAAAAGAAGAAATCAGATCCTGAATTGAGAGAAAAGCTTTTAGCTGATTGGGATGATGTTTCTGATGAAGATATGAGTCAAGGTACGACATTAAATACATCTGTAGAATCGACAGCACCTGAAAGTCCTCCAAGAGTTTCTAAAAAGGACGATGATGATGTCGAAAAAGATGAAACTGCTAATAAAAGTGATGATGCTGATGTTGTTCTTTGTGAGACTGAAAAGCTTTTAGAAGAAACTGATAAGATATCCAGTCAAATTGATGATTCTCTGTCCAAGGAGAAAGTTATTGAACAAAATTCATTATTGAAAACTACTATTGATGATGATAAAAATGATCAGAGTGGTAAAAGTAAACTTTTAGGTTTGAAAAAATTTAAGAAAATCAATTCTGATGAAGAAAGAAGAAATTCTGATAATGATAAAGATGATAAATCGAAATTTTCATGCTTCGATTTTGATGAAGAAGAGCCAGAACCTGCGTTACCACCTGTAAGAAAAATAGCGCGAGTTTTTGGTGAAAAAAATACATCTTTAAAGAAGGAAATTATCAAAGAATTTACAATGAGTCAAGCATTAGCAAATGAAAAAGACGAAGAGGAAAAATTAAAGAAGAACAATGAGAAAAAAGTTGTTGAAGATGATAAACTTGTTGATGAAATAAATAAAACAGTATCAGAAGCGAGTGATTTAGTAGCTAAAATAGCATCTGAAGTGCAAGAAGCGAATTTAAGTAAAGCTAAAACTGAGGAGACTGAAACAGAGTTGGAGATAGTCGAAATATTAGAAGTGGAGAAAGAAAAAGATGAAGAAGAGACGGAAAAACAAGAAGAAAAAGTGACTAAAAATGTACCGAAAATTGATCAATTAAGTTTAGACAATCACGAAGGCGTAAAAAAAGTGGAAAAGTCTTCTAAAGAAATGAAAAAATCAAAATCAATTACTGAAAAGAAAGTAATTGTATCTAGAATCCCTGAACTAGACTCAGAAAGAGTGACTATTGAGGAAGAAGATGATAATATGCCAATTTCTCAGATCTCAGCTGGATCAGCTGGTTCTGATGGCTCTCTAAGATCAATGGGTTGGTCACAATTAAATGAAATAATTGGTGCAGCGCCAGGAGTTGGTGAAAAAGTTGAAGAAAAAATAACACAACCAACAAAAAAGCGTAGAGGAAGACCGAGAAAAGTACCATTGCTTCTAGACGTGTCTGGGAATGGAGACTCACCGAGTAAGACTGAAGAAAGTATGCCTGGGACACCTGATAGTCAAGATACTGGAAGAAAAACATCAGAATCAGATACCGAAAGATCTTTTACTGGAAGAAGACGAAAACCGAATAAGAAATATTTAGAATCGGATATTTATAGCACCAGTCCTGGTCGAAGAACACCAAAAACTGATGATAGTCAGTCTGAGACTGAAGAAAAGACACCTAAAGAACCGAAAAAAGGTAGAAGAGGTAGAAAACCTGGTTGGAAAAAAGAAAGAACTGAAAGTTTAAGAACTTCAGTTGATGAATTTGAATTTTCTGATCAAACTCTTGATAGTGCTGAAGAATCAGCTAATACTTCTGTTCAGCGAACCAAATCACCTGTCAAAAAAATTGATTCTAAACCATCTCCAGTTCATGTGACTGATTTATTAACTTCTAGTGATGTTGAAATACGCGGAATTTTGCAGACTGAAAGTTTAGATGATGATAAGCAAAGCAAAATTGAACAAGTAGTGGTAAATGATAGAAAAAATGAAGAAGAAGATAAGAAGAAAGCAGAGGTTAAAATTGAAATGTTACCACCTAAGAAATCGCAGATAAAAAAGTTTGAAGCATCACAAGCTGATTTTAGTGAAGAAAATAATAAAATCCAGGATGATGTTTGTATTGAAAAGGTGCAATTTGAATCAACGAGTATGGAAATTGATCAAAAGAAAGTTCCTGATGAAGTTCCAAGTGTTGATAAAAGTCAAGATGACAATGTTGTTACCGTAATACAAATTGATGGTACGGCAATAGCTGTCAATGCTAGTGTTGATGTAGTTCAAGAGAACATAGAAACTATTTTAGCCGATGAGATGGTAGATCAAGAGAAAAATAAGCCTAAAATATCAAAAACACCAGACGAGGTGAACTTTGTGGCTGAAAAAGCAACAGAAAAGTCTGAAGTTGACGATAAACTGGATACAAATTTCGAAAGAAATAAAGAAAAATTGTTACAAGAGTTAGAAGGAACTCCAGAAATGCCAAAGATTGAAGAGAAAGTAAAAGAAGAACAAAATGCTGTTGGTTGTGTTATAACTACTGAAACCATAGAAGTGGTTGTTAAAGACAAACCAATTGAAACTCCAACATCAAAACCAGAAGTGCTAGAACCTAGTCAGGAGTCAAAAATCGATAGAATTTCTGAATTACCATCACCAGCACCAACACCATCACTATCATCAGAAGTTTCAATGCCTGTGAAGAAGCGTGAGAAACCTCGAATCATTGAAAATGTTCAACTAAAAGAACCAATGCATATTTTAAAATCAAAATTACTAGAAAAGCAGCCTTTTAGAGCTAACAAGCATAAACTCGATGACTCTTCAAAACGAAATATTCTTCAGGGTATTCCAAAGGCAAAGATAATGAAGATAGATAGTGATCTTAGTAGTCCAAGTCCACCACAGATGATAATGACTCCGAAATTGCAGGTTATAAAAACTGAAGAGCTTGGAAATGAAAAAATAGTGACAGCAATTGGAGTTGAAGAAGGTGAAAAGGTGATTCAACAAACATCGCAGAGTTTAGCAGATATGGAGTTGGATATTGATTCAATCCCATTTGTTTTAAGTGAAGATTTAAATCCAGAAACTGTTGAACAAATGCCAGTGGTGATTTCACCAATGATTCCTGCTTCTACAGCCATTCCTACACCAATAGCCATCAGTTCAGCGTCTCAAACTAGTAGCAATCAGATAATAACAACTCTACCAACATCAGAACCTGAAACAATTACGATAGATTCTAGTCCAAAGAAGAAATCACCAGCAATATTAAAAAGTAAAGTAAAAGCAAAGCCAACAATAACATCAATTCGAACATTGCATCCACCATTAACTGGTGGTGTTAAAGGTTTAAAGTTTCAAAATCAAGCTGGAAAAGTACCAATGAAAGGTTCTCCTGGTAAATTTGTTATTGTTCAGACATCAGGAAATCAGCAAATGAGATATAAAGTCCAAGGTGCTCAGAAACTACCTCTTCCTGCTGGAAAAACAACAGCAAATGCTCAGATTGTTTCACAAGGAGGTAAAGTTGTTATATTAACATCACCACAGTCTGGACAAACTAAAATGGTACCGCTAGCTAACCTTTCTAAAGGTAAAGTTCAGAAAATAGTAACTAAACCAGGTACAACTTTTTCACCAGTATCAAAAGCACCTGGAATAGCACCAAAAACTGATGAAAGTTCACCAACAACATCAAAAATCACTCCAGGAACAAAGTTACTCAGTCCTAAAGGAGTTTTATCGCCAGTTAGTGCTGGTGGAAAAACAGTAATTGGTAATATTCCATCTGGAATCATTAAAGGTGGTGTTTATACATCTCTATCAACTGCTGGAAAAACAATTATTGGTTCTAAGACCCTAGTAACAAATAAAGGAACCCTTTTGTCATCACTTTCAGGTCAAGGTTATACTAAAACTATTGTTCCGTCACTTTCACCTGCTAATATTACTAGCAAGACAATTATTACGTCTGCAGGGTTGGTGCCAGGTAAAGGTACAGTTCTAACACCAATAACTGGTCAACAAGTGAAGGCAATAGCTGCTAAGAATCCTGTAAAAACGACAAAAATTCAATACCAAGCGATACAGCAGAAAGTACCACTTCCGATGGTTCAGAAGATTCAAAAGTCACAAATTTCAACAGGATCTCCTGTAAAAAATGTTAAATCATCAACACAGACTATTGTTTTTCAGAATGCACTTCAAACGACACCTTTGAAAGCACCACCAGGTAAGAAAATTGTACGGCAACATACTTTAGTAGCATCACCAACAAAAGTAGCTCCAGGACTTCAACAGAGTCCTAGTGGTGTTTCACTTCAGATGCTAGGAAAATCAAAAAGTGCTCCACCCTCCGTGCAAAAGGTACAGACTCCTCGTGGAAGAAGTGCTAAAGCTAAGAATATTGTAGTTCAAACGATCCAAGACACACCACCGAATCCATTGAAGGCTTCTCAGTTAATTATCAATCAACAAAAAACTGTTCTTCATCAACAAAAGCAGATTTCATCAGCAGAAACGATAACGAAAATTACCAAAGGTCAAACTTTAGTTAAAGATATTCAACAAAAGATTTTAGTGGTGCCTAGTGATACTAAAGACTCTAACTTGGATGGTTCATCAACATCAACGATAGAATCTGATGTCCAGATGTTAGAGAAAACTCTAGATAATTCAAGTGATCAAATCCCACCAACGGAAGGAACATCAACGTCTGAAGTAGTAAATGAAGAACAGAAAGTTGAAGAAAGTAAACCACCAACTCAAATAATGGCTTTACCAACAGAGTCTAGTGATGGAACACAGACTTACGTGTTGGTGACTGTTGATGAAAATGGTCATATTCAACCACTAGACAATAATGCATTACTTTCACTAGAAGGAACTACTCAGAATCCTGATGGAACTCGAACTCTTTACATAGATCCGAGCTCTTTAGGAGAATCAGCTGGTCTAGAGAATATAGTGCTTCAGTTTGACAATGGATCTCTTTCTAATCTTCAAGCGAATCCTAGTGAACCAAGTCAACCAATCACAAGTGATAGTTTTCCCAGTTCTGATATCATCCAGACTTCAAATCAAGACATCTTAGCTGCTGCTTTGGCAAACACTGATTTCCAGCAGGAAATTGGATTACCAGAAAACCCAACTACGAGTGTAATGACCACAGGGTTAACTCAGACTAGTCTGATAAACCAGACGATTCTTCAGTCCACAATAATTCCAACCTCTGAGCCAATTTCATCACCGTCTGTGTTGGAAACGTCTTTAACCCTTAATCAACCTATCATGACGCCACTAGAGGTTCCTAGTAATTTACCAATCCAAGCAGAAACACCATCGACCATAACTAATCCACCTACAAGTTTAGAACTGCCTATTACCATTACCAATCCTAACATATCCTACATCGCGACTGAAAGAGACATTCGAATTCCAGAAAATTCAATGCCAGAGCTTGGAGACATCATGGAAACACCTAGCCGAGTGGAAATAACATCAGAACTACCAATAAATACTACTCAATACCTAGTGATATCTAATCTTGAGGAAAATCAAATTCAAGAAGAAACAACGCCATCAACATCTTACGCTGTTTCTATCCCCGAATGTATTTCTTCAGATTCATCACAACCACAAACCAACCCCTCAATGCCAATCATTGATGATAATTACTCTGAAGAGACCACCGAGCAGATCTTCAATCAGGAGACACTTGAGTCCAAGCCAAGTGATGAGAGTTTAATACAAGATTCAACTGATAAAGAAGAACTCAAAGAAAGTTTAGTTGACGATCTTGATAAGGAAAGTGTTCGTGGTATGCCAATGGTGGAAATTGAAGAGAAAAATGAAGACAACACTGATAATCAAGTAAAAGAAAGTATGGAGATTGATAAGTTAACTGACACTCAAGCCTGTGAATCAACAGAAACATTGTCAAAAGTTCAGTCATCAGTTTTTGAGAGCTGTGAGACGCAAACGCAGGAGATTGCAGCGTTAGAAGATGTTGAAAAAATTCAAGAAGTTGAAGAATCATCAATGAAATCTGATGAATTAAAGTCTAGTACTGAAGAAGATGTTGGCATACCAACACCAGTAGTAGTTCCAATAGAAGTTGATGAACCTGGTGTTGTATCTGATGAATTAGAAGCAGCAGAATCATCATCTCCAAGTGAAATAACACAAGAGATTGTTTCGGAAATGAGTCAAGAAGTTCCATCTCAATCTTACGGTCAATTTGAAGCTTCAGTCAGCGGAGATTCAACAGAAATACCATCGCAATCAGCTTCAAAAGGTGAAAGTTCTAGAGAACCATCACAATCGATAGAGTTTCAATTGGAAGCAATGGACCAGACTGAATCTAGTGAGCCACCAACGCAATCATTTAATGATTCTCAAGCTAACGAAGCCACGCAGTCTGAGAATACAGACACTCCAACGCAATCATCAATAGAAAGAGTCCAAGATGATAATGTCGATGATCCAAATTTCCCAACCCAGAGTTATGAAGTGGAAAAAGTAGAGAATGTACTGGAGACGATGGAAACTGATCCGGAAATTAGTCAGGAAGGTAATATTCCTTCACAGTCCAATGATGTTGGTGTTGATGGAATTGGAACGTCATCATTTTCATCAAATAATTCAGGATTAAATGAAGATGAGACTGCCAGTTCGTCTTACGTACCAGAAACTCCACCGGACAATCAAGAACGGGATCAGGACCAAGAGAGTGCCATCAGCACATCCTCATATGAAATTCCTACATGCGAAGAAATTAATATTGCTTCTTCTAGTATTCCTGACACGTCTGTTAGAGTGGAGCACGTCAGTATTCATGATAACGGCGTACCAGAAATTCCTACATCGTCTTATAGCTTGAATCCTGATAGTAGTTCTACTCATGTCGATGCTGTACCCACTTCTAGCTATGATGATCAAGTGATTGTTGAACAAAATGTGTCCACGTCTTATGAGGTACCGATATCTATGCCTGGACTGGAGGAAAACTCGGCGCAGAATTTTGTCAGTGAGAGCAGCGATCAAAGAGATGAGCCTACGAGCTATTATGCAAGACATACTGAGGTAAATTATTTTGTTGGTATTTTGAGGGTAGTTAACCTGATTTAGGTTGAATTAGAAACTGATTTAAGTTGGATAAAGGAAGCTGGTATATGTTATGATAAATATATGATGGAGATGGAGAATTATTTCAATTATATTTAACTTCTATTTGTAATAAAAAAAAGAGAAGTAGAAATATTTTTCGTGTTTGATTATTGCTCATTTGCTTTTTTTAATTGAAAAATTTAATTGCACAGGTCTGTCTGAACTCACTGATAATTATTATCATATAAAAATATACATCTATTGCACTCATGAGTATAACAAGCCCATAATTCTTGGAAATATCAGTGCTCTTTAGTGATCTGAGTGCAGCCCGGAAAGTCCACACGATTAACTTCTAATAATTATTATTATTTTCATAATTATTGTAATGATATCATTCATTGTACTCGAGATAATTGAGACAAAAAATAATTCCGAACAAATATATGCACATATACACACACAGACGTCCGCTTAAAAACTGTTGTATTCAACTCCATGGACATTGAAACGTGAAGATATGTCAAAATTCGGGATTTGCAAAACTTCTCACTGGGAAGCTAAAATTTAACTTTAAGATTTAGTATTATTATTATTTGAAATCATAAAATCAATTCTTTATCAGGAAAACTCTCTTAATAATGCTATTTTCAATATAAAAAATCTTTAACTATTTATTTTTTCTACTTTAATCTAGGACGTAACATCAGAAGCAAGTCAAAGCTATTTCATCCCAGAAGGTCCAAGTCCAAGTTACACCACCCAAACAGCATCTCCAAGCTACTACGAGCCACCACGTGAAAGTGAAGCAAGTCAAAGTTTTTATTCTCACGAAGTAGAAAGATCTGAACAATCACGCAATGTTGAGGCATCACAAAGTTTTTATCAAGAGGCAACGACAGATGGATTGAGACTACGACAACAAGGTGAAGCGACACCAACATATACTGAAAGATATCCAGTTGATTACACTCTTGAAAATTCACCAATGGAAAGGCACGATTTGGTCGAAAGTTCAGTGCCAGCAACACGTCCTACCGAAAGGTAATATAACGCGGAAAAATGATGGTATTTTCCTTAAATAATTATTAACTATCAATACTATCGACATTAAAAGTGTAAATAACCAGGGTTTAACGTGACAAAAATAACAGCACAGAGCATAAAAACGAGAAATAAAATTTAAAAATCATCAAAAACTCTAAATTCACCATCTTCAGATTTTTAGCATTAAGTCATAGATTCATATAATTTATATCTTTATTAATAAAAAAAAAACAAAATATATAAATAAATATTATAAATAAAGAAATTAAAAAAAAAAATTCAAGTTATTTTGATTTGAACGCAAATGTTAATTGTACGAAAGATATGTTTTTTAAGGTCGAATTGATTAATTTTCATTGTAAAATTTTTAATAAAATAGAATAATAAAAAGTAAGCAGACGAGTGATGGAGTCAAGTTGATAGAATAAAACTATGTAGAAAAAAAGAAGGTCGCACAATATTTTTCGATGGCTCTGTGACAGCAAAAGTGAATATTAAAATTTAAATTTAAAACAAAAAATGAACAATTTTTCTTTGTATCTTATCGTTATATATATATATATATACGTATATATATATATATATATATTATATGTTTAGCAAGAAGTTCTTGTATTTGTTTATTATTAAAAAAAAAGAACCACTATGCAATAAATATATGATTAATATTTCATTAAATTTTTCAACAAATTAATTACTATTATTAATTAAAGTATAATTGATTGTAAAAAAAAACGATAAAAAAAATATCCTGAACTTTTGGCTATTAATTATTTCATTTCGGTTCTTCTTCTTTTTTTCACTTAAATTTTAATATTTTCACGTTTAAATTAGATTATTTTTTCATTTTAAGTTAGTAACATAGTCGAAAAAAATTTATATACTAAATATTATTAAAAAAAAAATACTATGTTCATTTTTTTTTTGTTTCTCTCTGTGAATTATTTTTGAATGATTTTATTTGTTAATCATACATGTTTATCGTTTTTATTAAGGTGTAAGGATAAGTAAAAAGAGAAAATTTATCATATTTTGAAAGAAAATTCTCATCAACAAAATCATTAATTAAAAATGAAAAAAAGGCATTTATAGTTTTTAAAATAATTTTTAGAATTTCAGTTATGACAAACGAAATTTTATTTTAAACATTAATTGCAATCATTGATAAATTATTGTAACGGAGGGAGGTGAGAAAATAATTTAAACAAATGAATGAATTCTCTTTCTTAACATGATTCATTTTGTTGTAATACTGTGGTCATAACATAAAAAAAATAATAATGATATTCTTTATATATAAATATAGTCTCATGTAGCTATTGAACTAAATAAAAACATGTTTTTATTTTTTTGTTGCCTTTTAATCGATATTATTATTATTATTATTATTATTATTATTATTATCATTATCATCATCATGATTATTTGTGGCTCAAAATTGTGCAAATAAATTATTATTATTATGTAAAAAGACAAAGAAAACATAAAAGAATAACTAAAACACTTTCTAAGAAATAATGTAAAATATTATTTGAATTTATTAATAAACAATTTATTACTTAAATAAGAAAAAAATGTCCACAATATGTAATTGATTTGATAATTTAATTAATCCAGTCTTAAAATTTAACAAAAATATATATAAATATATTTTTATAAATTTATTTTCGCCAATACTGAGCGAATTTATGAAGTTGTTCAACTAAGGCAGCCATGACAGCAGTTACTGAAAGATCAAGAAGATTCTGAACATAATGGACAGCTTCTTCATCACTTAAATCTAATCTCAATTTGTCCTGGACTTTTTTGACAGCTTTATCAGGTTCTAGAGCAATGTCAGGAACACTGGCATCCACCATTAGAGAAAATAAATTTAATATGAGATTGGCATGACGTCGGAGATGTAAAAAAGCTGTGTAACAGTGTTTTCTGAATTCATGATAGTGTTCAGAGCCAACGTTGCCCATGGCTTCGACCATTTCTTTGCTAAGTTTCATTGGAGGTGGCAATGGTTTTGGATCCCTACCTAGGATATAACCGAAATCTATGTGAAAAAGTTTTCCTAAAAAATAAAAAAATCCGTGATTTTGACATTCTTTAGTCCTGGACAAGCTTCGACTTTTTTCAAAAATCATAGCTATCTAAAGAGTAAGTGGAGTAGTAAGAACAGGCACTCATCATCAATAGCAAATCCATCAATCGTAAATATTCATTATTAGCCTTCTTTAATTAAAGGTAGCTTTTCATTAGGCAAAAATAGTCTTTCTAAAGTCGCTCATGATGACGATGAGCTAAGAAATTGACTTGCTATTAATGAGCGTCTACTGCTATTTAGTAGATATCACGCCTCAATATTCGAGAGTAAAATATCAGCGTCAAAATATTCGCAAATAATTGATCCTTGTATATAAATGTCCAAGGTAAAAAATCTCTCAAATTTTTTTCATCAACCTGCATTTTTCGAGTCGTTTGGAATTCGTATAATTTATTTTTTCTAAGTTAATAGATGGGTATTTTTATCTAGAATATAAAGTTTTAAAAACAATAATATTTTTACCTGAAGTTGTGAGCAATAAATTATCTAGATGTCGATCTCCAACACCAAGTACGTATGTTATAATACAATAACCAGCTAAAAGTATAATTAATAGAAATAATGAATTAAATAATTTTTTTTTTCAACTTTAATTAAAGTAAATCATGATATAAAAGACCCATTACCACAGCTTCGAACATAAGTGTCCATAACTTCTGGTGCAACACCATAAGGAGCAGTTTCTGATGGATGATATTTCCTAAAAAAATTCAAAATTGATCCTTCACTTGTTAAAACATCAGCCACTGTTGTTGATTCAATAAACTGAAGAAATCCATGCCTAGTACTGGTAGCCAACACTCTGAAAAAAAAATCAGAAAAAAATAAGCTGAAATGCTAAATTTATCTTCAAAAGATTTTATGTATACTTACCTATAAGGAGTCAACTTTAAATCTAAATTCTCACGTCTTAAAAGCTTATCCATCAACGCAATTGTCTGTAGAATCAATTGATCTTGTCTTAAATCATCACCATATTTAAATATTGCAATATATTCAGTGTTTTCCGTGGTCAAAAAGGTCAATTTTGATGGCATCAGAGCTGATTTAAAGAGACTAGCTCTAAAAAAGAATAGTTTTATTATTAGCAATGATGCTTCTAGATCTTTTTTTGTCTTAAAAAAAATGTAAAGAAATAACTTACTTTTCTGGAATAATTCCTTTAATACAAATTTCTGGGTCCAATGGAAAAGGAATAGGCTCGAAGTTAGAGAAGTTGATTTTAAATGTTGGTTCAGGATCAGATAGCAAACCTTTTAAACGATCAGTTTTTTTCTTTCGATTGCCACTTTCTCGAGCAACAGTTTTCACTAGAGCCACTAATTGATCGATAAATAATTTCTGGCGACTCAAAAAAGCTCGACGTTTTTGCCAAACAGCATTGCCTTGTGATAAAGCAACGGAGAACATTTTCATCACTGTTACATACATCTCTCTAAACCTCGTGTCTTGTTTAACAGTCACTGCTGGATCTGGCTGATCCTCACATTCAATAGATAAATACCAATAAAGATAATTAGCTAGTGTTGAATTTTGGCAAGCTCGAGTTATCAAGAATGATGCAAGATCCATTGGAGATTCTTGGCTAGATGATGAATGGCAAGCTTCAGACTCGCTTGACTGAAAAATAGAGACACAATTTAAGAGTTTTTATATTGTTGTTTCAACTTTAATAAATTATTGATAAACAAAAAATAAGAAAAAACAACATTTATTTAACGACTTATTGTCAGCAGCGTTGGATGAATTAATAAGCATCATTTTGCGATTGAGAGTTATGACGGTTAAACGTGAATTAAGTCTGTTGGTTAATTCTTAATTAACCTATCGAAATCAAAGCCGAATTTACAGCAAATATAATTAAATTAATTTAAATCTTTACTAAAAAATTTACACTATTTTTAATACTTGTCAATTGCATTTCTTTAAACAATACCTTTCTTCGATTCTATGAAAAAATTTTTTGATATCTTTTAATGTTAAATCCAACTTACAGTAGACATCGGAGTGGAAGAAGAATCATTCTTATCTCTCTCAAGTCGATCTGATTTTTCATGATCTTTTAATATTTTAACATTAGCTGCCTTGATACTTTCAAAATTTTCGTACTTTAGAGCTTGCACTAATTGAAGTAAATAAAGCATTAAATCATCATCATGAGCTTGACTTAATCGTCTAATAGCATATCTTCTCACAGCAGGATGAGTGAAAGCTGGTCCTAAAAGCTCCAAAGCATCTTCTGGATCAGGTGGTGCCCAGATAGCTAGCATTTCTAATGCTTGTCTTTCCTCACCAGCTACTTTCCAATTAACACACTTGACAAATTTAGTCAACGCTTTTTTCTGTGTCGACAAATAATATCGGAATTTCCAGATTAAATCTTGCTCCTCTGTTGATAATGCAGTTGTTGGTGGATATCCCATAATAATATTAAGAGCATCCCTGACACTTGAAGTTGGTTTGACTTCCCTAGTATTCCCACCACTACGTAAACTACGTGCTAATTTATGATGCTTAGCTTCAACTAAATTCTCCTGGAGTATTTCATAGTCCGGAATCGTAACAACATCTGGTTGTGATCGATGTTGAACTACTTCATCACCATCTTTTTCATAATAAACAATAGAGTAAGGTATACCGTCCATTGTGACTTCTGGAAATTCAATGGTTAAATAAAGATACTCAGAAGCACGTTTTTCACGTTCATTAATCAGTTCTATTTCACGAAATGTTAATCTATCTAACCAATCAACCCTTGACATTTGACCATTTCTTCTTTTTTTAGCCAACTTGGCTAACCTTTGCATCTGTTCTTTGCCGTAATCACGAGCTTTACCAGGTGTTGTTGAAGAATTAGAACCATCAGCTTCTACTCCAGGCCACACTCTGAGATCCATCATTCTCTGTCTAAAGACACCATGTTTACCAAAAAGAGATATTGTCGTACCTCCTATTGGAATTTGACGACCTGGTCCTGCACAATCGTAAATTGTGACGCATAATTGAGCATCTCTAGGCAGATCTGAATAAGATATTGGAAGTGTTACCCACTGATTCCAACTATACATACAAAAATGAACTTAATTAGAAATAATAATCGTACAAATGTAAATAAAAGCATCATTAAGTCAAGACTTACTTCCACCGAGTAGGAAAATGTTTGTAGGCCGTATGAACCGGTAATGCTAGTGGTCTACCACCACCCCAGATTTGTAAGGAAGCTGCTAAATCACCTTTTCCACTTCCAGACTCATATACACCAGAATACTTGATCATAGGATCTAACAACAATTTATCATACTCAGGTCTTTGTCTCTTGCCTTCTAAAGTTCCTCTAAAAAAACAATGTTAAGTAATATCTAATCCACTATTGAATTACATCTTTACGTCATTACATCATAAATAGAACAATCTTTTGCTCTTAATTCTTAGTTTTATAATCCTTAAGATTAATCCAATGATTAAAATTATCTAAATGACTGGATTATTTCAAGTTAGAATAAATAATCATGTACTATTTATCACTTATTCAGCAGTTGTTTTTAACAGGACAATAATTGGAAATTATTTTTTAATACAAGGTTTATAATGTTATTGTTGAATTAACTTGTTGTATAAAAAACCGAATAATTTAATTTTCTTTTAACCAATCACTTACATTTTAATTTGTATTCTTGTTTCTAAAGACGAACTGTACACGTAAAAAAATTTATCACTAATATTTTCCATTATTGATATAATTGCTTTTTTGAATAAATACAATTGAGTATTTATTTATCCTCTTGGCTTTATCGTATTTTATTTCTACTCTCTTTCTTTTTTTAAGGCTGGGCTGAAGCAGAGAAGAGAGACCAGTATAGAAGTTCAGTCCTTATGGGGGGAGCGTGACATCTGTCCCCAATAAGATGTCAGTCAAAGGCATTTTTACAATCTTTTAAATTTAAATCTTTAAATGTATAATCTTACTGATTGTTAATCAACTTCTATGATGCCCAGATTTTTTATCTAATGATCATTTTAAAAATAAGCTTTATTCTTTTAATCTTTTAAAATTGGTTTTTTTTATTTTCAATCATTTAATATTCAATCAAATTATAAAAATTTTTCTTTTTTTAATGTTTATCATTTCGTTGAACAGTCAACTTAAGAAATTAGGACTGGTAAGTTATCTTGCGTCGGTATAGTAGAAAAAAAATTCAACTAGTGTCACTGTTTTCTAATAGATGACAGTAATTACACTGTTTTCAATCAAAAATTAGAAATGCTTATATGATTTTGAATTTTGAATTGTTTAATAGCAACTTTACTTACCAAAAATAAATATTAGATTGATCTTCTTGAAATGGAGCATAATTTTCTTCAAAACCAATTACTTATATCGATATTTTTCATCGTTAGAGATATACCACATCAAGTTATATTGAGTTAATTTCTTTACAATATCAATTACACAATTCAAAATAATAAAAAAATACTTTACTTTTAAATTGAATTTTTCTTCAATATATTTCCTTTTTTTGTTTCATCAATCATTAAAGTTACTGAATTACTTGCTATTTCTTCAGTTAGTTTGTGTTTTAATTGACTATCAGTAAGACAGTCTTCTAGTATTATCGTAATTATAAATAAAATAAAATATATTATTTGTATCATTAATTTACGCTTAGTTTAACTTTTCTAATAAAGTTAGTTTCTTCCATTGTGTAATGAAATTTTTTAAACAGGTTTTTTTTCAATATAATTTTTATTTCAAACTCTTTTTTCATTAATGACATATTTTTTAAAAAACAAAATAAATTTTCACACAAATAAATTATATATTAAAGAGAAATAAAATTAAGATCCTATTAAATTTTTATTATTACTCAATTTAGTTCACACGACAATTAGTTTTAACACAAAAAAGTAATTTTTCGGGTAAATATTAAAACACATTTAATATATATATTTATACATATTCGTAATTCTAAATTGAATTAAATTTCATTTTTCAGATCGATTAATAAACATAATTTGTGACAGTGACATTGAATATTGTAGAATAATGAATGAAACTACACGACAAAATCATTCTCGAGCAATTCAACATACAATTGACTTGTACATTAATAATTTACAAGGGTCCTTAAGAAATGGAAGGTACTTATATAATTTGTTAATTTATTCAATCATTTTATATTAAATTTAAATAATTTGTTATAATATCAATT